CCCCAAAACCCCAAAACCCCAAAACCCCATATCTATTAAAATTACAAGTATTTGTTAATTATCAAATAATCATAATACAATTATTTCTTTGGACAATCAGGTAACTTGATTTGCCATTTTACCGTGGTTATTCGATTAGTATTGTCATTACTATGGAGCCTAGCTTTCCATTTAGTCGAAGTACTCTTTAGTAAATAATTCTTCTTATTCTTCATCTTAAGAGTCCTCAGTGTCTGGGTTCAGCATATTGCATTCCTCAATTAATACTCTTATGGTTGTAGCATTGTCATATTTAACATTCGGAGCAATCTAAATGATAAGCTGATCACAATCATCAAGGCCTTCTTTCATCTCTACATCCTCATCCCCATTTTCATCATTCAATTCTAGAGCTACTTTGTAATTGTCGCCTATACATAGTTAGCATTTATTCTAATAGGTGGGTACTTTTGATTATTCCAAATAGTACCTTTGGATGCTCTTCATCAACATATTCAGATTCTGAAGCATCCCCAAAGCACATAAAGTCTTTGTAGCTAAAGCAAATCTCATTATCCTTCCCTTCTTCTTGCCATCTCAAAAATCTAGTTAGTTGTAAGTAAAATTCATTAGCTTACTTACTAAGTGGTAATAGTAAAGGTCCCCGTTATGACTTTATCATTGTAGATAAACTGCACGTTGCTGTGGGTCTTATACTTTACTTCTTCTGGCAAAGTTTAATCTAAATTTTCCATTGTAAATTATTAAATAATATTTATATTAAATTGTTAAGTAAACCTTAAAATGGTATTTTTCTTTGAGTCAGAGGGTATTTACTTAATGCTTTAGTCTTAATCATTATAGAGTAAGATGCTGTCATCTATATGGGCAAAGATAAGTTTGAAAACGAGGAGCTGATTAAGTATGCCTGGCCTCATGATATATGGTACTATTAGAATTATTAACATTACTTGGCAGGTTCCATGTTGACGATTTCTCATCAGCTCACGTTTACCTAAGGACTAAGACACCGATAAAATCATACGACGAGTTGCCAGCTAAAGCAGTCATTGAATGCGCATAATTAACAAAGGACAACTCAATTGAAGGGTGCAAAAAGGGGGAAGTGGTTGTGATCTACACTTGGGCTTCAAACCTACTTAAGAATGATACTATGGAGACTGGAGCTGTCTCATTCCACAATAGAAAGCTTATTGTGAGTCAAAACGTCGAAAAAGATAAAGAAATTCTTAAGCGTATTAACAAGACTAAGACTGAGGCACATCCAGATCTTAAAAGTAATTGCCATAAACATAAAATTTATAGAGGAGCGTGATATGCATGTCATGAGGATGCAAAAAGAGGCATAGATGAAAAAGAAGGAGGAAAGAAAGCAAAAGGAAAATGAGTAAAAGCTAAAAGTCAAGGAAGAAGAGGAGAAGAAACAGCAATGGAATGATTTTGAAGCCTAAGGTGAAACACTTATGAGATCAAATCATGATAACAATGTTGAAGATGACTTCTGGTGAAGATGTTTAAACACCTATTGATGGTAAAAGGAGAGAGTCATGTTAAGTTTAAAACAGTGGTTATTAATTTCTTAATTAATAAGCTAAATGTTTAAATCAGATATTTACATAAGGGGTTTTGGGGTTTTGGGGTTTTGGGGTTTTGGGG